AAGGAAGGCCAGGATTGAAAAGTACTGAGAGACTTGCACCTGTGTCTAGCAACAGGCTGTTTTCTTTTTCCTCTATAGTCAGGATTACCTGGGGCTCCTCCATGGAGATGACAGTCTGGCCAGAGGGAGAAGGCAAAGTATGCCCCCGGTCCCCTCATTCCTGTGGACTAACTGGTAGGATGGGTCTGAGCTCTGGGAGCCTCCGCTTCAGAGGTCAGACCAATCTCCAGTGGTTACCTTTGCATTCAGGGCATGGCCCAAGGGGCTTCTTAGGGCAGTTCCTCTTGAGGTAGCCTGGCTTTTAACAGTGGTAGTGGATGAATGCAGTCATCGAGTTCTTGGGGCCGTGAGAATCAGACTTGGGGCCGCGAGAATCAGACTTGGGGTCTGTTTCTCTTAGTGGTGCAGCAAAAGCAGCTGCTTTTTCTCGGTCTCTTTGTTTTCTCTCCTTGGCCTCCTCCTCATCACAGCTATAGAATACTGAGAAGGCAATTCTTACTAACCTCAAGTGAGCCATCTGGGGCAAAAGCCATTCTTTGTAGCTTTTTCTCTCCAGCCTTCCAACGCATTGGGACCCCACAACCAGTTAGTGTCCTCTCCCTAGCCGTCAGCACAGGCAGCAGGAATCTCGGTGCAGACCTCTCCAGAGCTCCACACACTCCTCCACCACAGCCTGTACTGTCATGGGAAGAATGGCTTCCAGGGGGTCTCCCCAGGTATTGTGCAAGGTCCTCCTGGTTTACACCTTCCAAACGGCTCTTGTGACCCTGGTCAACTAGACCTCTGAATCTTTGGGAGTAGTCTGTATTCTCGTGTTCTCCGAGTCCTTGTTCAGCAGCTGCTCCTCCGCTGACTCTGGACCATTCTGGTTCTCAAGGGCAGAGGCAAGAGCGACACGTTGTATGACATATATTCCCAGGGGTTTCACCATGTCAGGATGATTCATGCACGTCCCTGGGTGGGCCTCCGAGGCCAGCATGTGGCAGGCCAATTGTATTATTGCATCTCTGTACCATGATAGTTCTCGACTGAAAGGTGGTGGTTGGTTGGGGGGCCAGCGCATACCAGTGCATGCCACTGTGCAGCTTCCCGGGCGCCCACTGCCCGCCTCCCAGGCGCCTACGTGGCTAAGGGCCGGCCCAAAGGCCAGCACTCCCCGCTGCAAGGCTTCCAGGATGCTGACTGCCTGCCTCCTGGGTGCCTGCACAGCTAGGTGCCAGCCCAAAGGCCAGCACTCCCCGCCGCACGGCTTCCCAGGCGAAGGTGGCCGGCCTCCTGGGTGCCTGACTGTAATTCTTAAGAAAGAAAATAACCATAAAAAAAGAAAGAAAGAAAAGAACTATGGATTTCCTTGAAGAAGGAGGATTTTGTCTTAAGATTCTATCAGAGCAATAGAAAACAATGGATGCATTTAAGAAACTAACACTAGAAAATAATGCTTTATTCATACAGCTAAAGCTAAAATACACATTTTGGTTCTAAAGTATGATTTAATTGGAGGAGACGGGGACCCGAGCACCTGCCTGATGCCCACACACAGGGGCCCTGATGCCTTTGTTATACTTGATCCAGTCCTGCAACCTCCTCCACCCAGGCTTCCTCTCTGGCAACCCATGAGCTCCTCGGAGCCAGCGCAGCAGAACAGCTCACCCTGCAGCTCGCTGGTGTCAGGGCTGAGAAAACTGCTTCCTCCTTCACGCTGCAGCCCAGAGATAGACTCTGTCCCTCTGCTGCAGACCCCAGCCCACCAGCCACACTGGGTTCAGCAGGGCAGGGCCGGAGGAAGGAAAGTCAGAGGGCTGGGCAGAGGAAGGAAGGTCACCAGACTGTGGATGACACCGGGTCAGCATCTGAGTGGCGTATAAGAAGCCAAGGCCAGTCTGCGGGCATTTCCATTTCACCATAAGGACCTGATTCTATGCAACAAAGGTGGTTTTTGTTTTTGTGTTTATTCTTTACACCTGAAATATATACCTGAAATTAAAGTGTCGAATGGAAGGGAAATAAAGAGTAAGATCCCCAGAAAAGATTCAAGATTTTATGTCCTTCCACTGCCGGCTTTTACCTCCAGGTCCTGTTGGCATTGCAAAGCCATGTCTGTTCTCTCCAAGGCTGGGCCCGCCCTGTGAGACTGTGAAGTTACATCTGGAACAAACACCCACTTACTGTCCTAGGTCACCTCCCGCCATGACACTCCTGGGCCTGCGGCCTGGGTCACTCACCCACTCAGTATCTACACCAACTATCTGCAGGCAGAGACGACCTTAAACCCTGTGCAAACATGAATTTTGAGAAAAACATAACCAGCAAAACTGTCTCCAGGAGCTAATTCTCAACAGACAACAAATGTTTTCTCTCATTCTCAGAATCCTCTGAAATGTATCAGGAGCATCAGAAGCGCATGGAGGGTGGGGACCAAATGTTGAGGAGCCACTATTCAGATCTGGTCACAGAGCAGCGAGCACAAATCCTGGAATGGGGACCCAACTCATATTCCACGTTTCCCAGGCCTTCAAAACAATGTAAAAGACACTCTACAGAACTATCTGGAGACAAAAGGAGAACAATGTTCAAGATATTCCCTATCAAACATGGCCTGCTGCCCCCCCTCTCAATTCACATGGGAACCTGATGTGACCACTGAGAGGACTGAAGGGTCAGGAGCAGGGGCTGTTGTTTTAACTGTATTCCCTAAACATCATGAGTTAGGAAGATAAAGGAGGAACAGAGACATAAGCTGGCTACCGAGTGTCATTTGAAGGTCGCTCTGAGACACACTTGAAGGATAAGGTGCCCAGATAAACTGTGAAGGTCTCTGGTGAGTCCTGTGATGCACAGAGAATGTGTCACAGAAGCTCAGGACACGTACAGGAAGGTGAGTGAAACGGCCAGAGCCAGGTATGCATGCAGAGCACAGCCAGTAAAACCAGCTGCCTCTAAGGCACGGCAGGTGAGCATATCCCACAAGTACAGCAGACCCCCTCACTGGCTGTCTTGTGGAAACACCACAATTTCAGTGACCCTCTGCCAACGTGGTCCAAAAGTACTAAGTGGAAAATTCCAGAAATAAACCATTTATAAGCTTTCAGTAATGCACTGCTTTGAGTGTCGAGCCTGATAAACTGCACACTGCCCTGCTCTGTCCCTGAGGTCATGAATAATCCCTTTACCAGTGTATCCAGTGTGCTGTGCATGGGTACCGACACACAGGTAGAAATATGTAGATATAACGTAGATACATAGAGATAGAAAATGCCCATCAACTGGTGAAACAAAATGTGCATCTATACAATGAAGTTTTACCCAGGGGGAAAGAAGGAAATGATGTGCTGATGTCCTAAACAATGTGGATGAGCCCTGAGAACAGCAAGCTAAGTGAAAGCAGCCAGTCACAAAACCACCTAATCCCTGACTCCATTCACAGGAGCTGCTAAGACTGGGCCAATATCCAGAGCAACAGAAAGAGTAGTGGCTGCAGGGACCATGAGGAGGTGTCCATCACTTACCTCAACGCTGAGACACCACAGCCAGCACCCATAACTTAAAGGAGGCGAGGTTTATTGTGATGTGGTTTCAGGGCACAGTTGGTTGGCTCCAAGGCAGCAGGGAATGGGGAAGACAGCTGCTCACAGCATAGCAGACAGGAAGCAGCGTGACACCCTTCCCCGCTCCCCCTCTTGATCAGTATTTCCCATCTGCCACGCCACAAGCTGCACTAGGTGACGTACATGAGATTTTGGGGACCAGGAGCAGAATGTTATGGTTTAACAGCTAGATGTCCCCCACAAATCCTCATAACTCATAGGTGGGGCTTTTTGGAGGTGACCATATCCTGAGAGCTTAGCTCACATGCTGTTAGGAGGTGGGAGTCTGGTCCCAAGAGGCGGGTTTTGGGGGCTCAGCCGGGAAGGCCGCGGCTCCCTGCCTTGCTCCTTCCTGCTCTCCCTGCCTCCTGTCAGTCACCCACAAACAGCTCTCCTCTGCCATGTGCCTCTGTCATGCTGCCCTGCCTTGGAGCTGAGCTCTTACACACTGAAACCGGAGCCCAAATAACCTCTGCTCCTTTCACCAGTGGGTCTCAGATACTGTGTCTCAGTGACGAGAAAGTGACTACAACAAGAAGCACGCAACAACTAACAGGTTTCTTCTCAGAGTGATGAAAACACCCTGGAATTACACAGTGCTATCAGCCGCACAGCTCTGAATATACTCAACACTACTGAACCACACACTTCTTTTGTTTTGCTTTTCTGTTTATTGAGACAGGGTCTTGCTATATAGCTCAGGCTGGCATCAAACTCACAGCAATGCTCCTGCCTCAGCCTCCCAAGTGCTGGGTTTAAAGGCATGCACAATACCTGGCTACCACATATTTTAAAAGGGTAAATTTTATGGTATGTGAATTATACCTCAAAAAAAACTTGAAAAAAAAGAAAACTATCCTTCTGTCCGTTACCAGTTTCATTACATATTCACAACAGTACGAAGTAGCTGTTTTACAGGTAAAATAAACTGAGGCTCAACAAAGACGAACTGGTAAACAATGGGGCCAGGATTTGAATGCAGCTAATCTGTGCAACCTGAAGTCCTCACCCCTGTTCACTCTGAGGGTCACATTAACTCCGAGGGAGCAGAAGGACAAGGGGGTAGATTTCAACTGGACACAAGAAAGGACAATGTCTCAGCATAGTGCCCTCCTCTCGCTGAGGTTCTGAAGACCACTCACAAGGGCCAGAGGGGGCCCGCCGTCATAGGAGGGTTGGTAGACCTCATGACCCCTCAATTACCTTCCACCTGGGGTATTAACTATATTCTCTCTCTTAAATTTCACAACAGCTAAGGTTTTTCCAAATTCTATACTGCTTCCCTGAGCTATTCTTAGTTCTACACACTTAAGTAATTAGGGCTTTCCTGTCCAAAATAGCCTCATTAGGTGGTGTGATGTGTTGCAATCAATCAACAGAGCAGCCATGGGAGCCTGCGAGCGGCCAGGTACTCACTGTGAAGTTCATCTCCTTGATGGAGAGACTCAGGTGCTCAAATCCCACAGTTACTGTGTACTGAGTGTAATTCAGGTAGCCAAGGTGAGCCACAATGATTTCTGCACATTTCTGCAAGCACAAAGAAGATTGATGACTTTAAGGCAGTAAAGAGAACTCTCCCACCAACTGATCCGTCAGTTACACATTTCAACAACTTGTCTCCAGGGAATTCACCAAAAACCCAGAAAAAGTCAGATACCAGCCAAGAATAGTTCCTAGAAAGAAAGTGCCAAATGGGTATTTTTCAAAATGTAACATACGATTTATAATAATTAGCATCGTCCTACTCTGGATGACTGAAAATAACATCACCTGCATAAAAATGCTAGCCATGCATACACACAAAACTAGTGTCTCCATAAACAGTGATGCCCAAGGGAGCTGCAAAGCCTTGGCACATCACGTGCTGCAGCCTAACTTGTGCTCTTGCACCACTGTGACTGTACAGAGTAGGTAACGTATTTTTTTTCCTCCCCTTTTAGCTTGTCATTCCTCACAAAGAGCACTTTCTCTATTCCCGCCCCACAAGCAAAGGCTGTGTGAATAGCCATGAGGGGATGACGTGAATATGCACACTGTATGGTCTGCCAAGAGGTCCTCTTGGGAATGAGAAATCGGTGCTCTCTGCCCGCTCCCTCGCTGTCCCCTACCTAAGCGCAGGAGGACAAGTCCTCGCTCCAGGACGCAGATACGCATTACTCACTGGTCAGGGTCTGCCCCAGCCTGCCGCACAGCCAGCACGCCCTTGACCATGCTGTGCATCCTTCCTCTCTGTGCCATAGGACAACCCAACCACTGCTCAGAACTTCTGTGCCTTTCTGGGTGCCGCTGTTACTGCCCCGGCTCTGAACAGGGCAGTCAGCCCTGTCCTAGGCTTCCCAAACCCAGAACGTCAGGGCAAGAAAACAGACCTGGGTTTTACACAAGAAGCCTTAAAAAGACAAGAGGGCAACTGGTGACGCTCACCCAAGAACCAGGAGAGAAAGCCAAAAGTGAGTATGCAAGGCCCACAGGCAGTGTGAGGGCCAAAAAAATCTCAAAACACTTGGCCAAACTGGCAGCCGCGGACCTGCAGCACAGCCCTCTACACTCAGTCGGGCAGGGAGGGCTGCCCTGGAGGGCAGGGGCAGCCCAGCTGGCCACTCAGCCCCTCCCCATCTTCCCACATCTCTGCTATTCTTTATCTTTTCTGACCTGCAGTTTTCTTTCCACCAGAGCAGTTTTTCTCATTTGAAGTGGCTTCCTGTCCTCTGGGCATGGGCATGTGTTTGCATATTCCCAGAAACACTAAATTCACCTTTCATTCCCAATAGTCACAGATGCCAGACCAGGGGCAGACAGGTTCAACACCAGTAAACATATTTCTGCTGGACAGAGAAGCACTTCCTGTGGATGACCACCGGGACAGCTCTCCTTGAAAGAAGACCATTTGTCTCCATTTTGGCTACACCTGGCCCTAATTCTGGGTATTGATATGTACAGGGCTGACTAGGGTAATATTTTACCCTCTGAATTGGCTTTAAGTAATGCAAATGGGTCTAGCCCAGGCGCTGACGTACAGCCTTTGAAGCAACGCGACAGGTCAGTGATGGCTGACTATCGCTCCCAACTAGTATGAGTGAGGCCTCTCGAGTGGCCGAGACTGAGGCTCAAGAAAGAACCTACGGCGTCTCAGGGCGCGAAGGCCACACATCAAAGCTGAAGTACAGACTAAAAACACTGAGTACTTCCTCAAACTGTGTTATGCAGACTCCTCCAAACTTAAAGGTTACCTGTTACCGGAATCTGGAATCCGGTACTCTTTCTGCATCTCTCTCTGCACGTTGCAGAGGCACCACTGTGCCTCCTATCCAGTCCAGCTCACTGCACTCACCTACTTCCCGCCATCCTCAGAGCCACTCGTCCCTGAGCCACTCCCCTCTTCACAAATTAATAAAATCCAACTTTGGTCCTAGGTGGAGGCCTTTGTTCCAGTTAGCCTTTGTTCTGGCTGGAACCCCCTGTTTTGACTTAGGACCTTGCTGGCTCCCCACAACCACAGCTATGTCTTTGTCTCTTTATTTTAGCCACGGGTTGCATTGGAAGTGATAGACTGGAATTTGCTCGCTAGAATTCCAAAAACCCTTCTCTGAGATTATAAATGTGGACCATAATGGGGCAGGAGCAGGATCTCTATCACTTCCTACAAGTGTAAGAACATGACTCAATTTTCAGGGGATGTTTTAATGAACAAAGTTACTGGTAGGGTTGAGTACACTTCCCCACTCAAAAACCCATGTGAAGCCACCTGCAGATTTGTGGGTGAGTATGCAAGGCCCAGAGGCAGTGTGAGGGCCATGGTTCTAAGGCCGATTACAACACCCTTGGAGAGGAACTCCACTTTCCCTACTGCAAGGTGTGTAGACAATCTTGCTACCCCAAGACTGACAATGTTTTCTCTTCACATAAAAAAAATAGTGCTCGCTTTGGCAGCACATACACTAAAAAAAATGTATTCAGAGAGAGTAGTAAATATCTCGGCAACGTAAAGAGTCCATATTTTCTTAAGACAGGACAATGCTCCTTGCAGGGTGAGGGAGAGATGGGCAGACAAGGAACAGAAGAGAAATGTTCCCAAGGGGTATACAGTATAAATTGAGGCAGGGCCACCAGCTGGACCAGAAGGAAACCACAGAAATGTTCTGACTGCCTCTCTCAAGGTGCAACAATGCAGCCAGCACCCTCACGTGGCCCGGCTCTCCCTGAAGCCTGGCTTTGGGGTGGGTGGGGGGCAACACCCGTGGTTCTAAAACAGGAAGTCTCATGTCTGGGAAACCCTTCAGTCAGGGTAATCGGTCACACCAGCCGTGGTGACAGCGCTGAGCAGCTGTTCATCCTGTGTGAAATACTGGCTAAGGTGCGAATTGGCCCATTCTTGCCTGGGGAAGAGAGAAGGCTGGGCCCGCTGCTAGGACAGCTGTCTTTTCTAACCTTCATACATGCCATCCCTCCTGTGAGTCATCTTAACTGACTGACACCAGCACATAGGCAGGTGGGCTGCACAGCCTCCCCCAGGTAAAAACATCATCCGCTCCGCACATGAGTCACCTTGATCCTCACCACTTTCCAGAGACAGGTGGGGGTGGGGAGTGGAGCTTACACCCCACTTCAGGCGAGGATAACACTCTCGAGAAGCTGGCTCAGGCCACTCACACAGGTCAGAGGCGGGAGGCAGAACAACAGTCCAGTTACTCCTGGTCTTCTTTAGACACCACCTGGACTGTGATGGATGCAACTGTGACTGCTGAGGTCAGGCAAGCCAGCACTGTCACAGCTCTTCTGGAGAGGGCTGCACTGCCAGCATGGCTCACCTTTCCACAGCCCTGCACCCTCCAGCCAGGGTCCTGACCTGGTTCATGGAGAGGGAGTCTCCATGAACTCCTTCTCTCTGAGAAGGAGGCTGGCCCCTGTGCAGGGCTCCATATTTACTGGGCAGGACAAAAAGGCTAGTGTCTTTACTGCCAATAACAAGGCAGAATGCACCATGAGCCCATGAGCTTCAGGATAAATGAGCACAAGCTCAGATCTGGTCCATTCATTTACTAGCTGTGTCACTTTGAACAATGGCTTTGACCCTCAAAGCCTGCTTCTTCTTACACAAAAGGGGCTCTAAAGACAGTCACTCCTCCATGCACCTGCTGTGAGGATTAATGAGTAACCTATGGGAAGTACTCAGCATGATGCCTCACACAGACTAGGAACGCCCTGCCTCTGACACCCTTGTCTGGTCCTCTGATCAAACGCACTGCCAAGTTCCCCGTGCTTCCAGGATCCTGTTGAGTCCTGAGGTGACCTGCTTGCTGTCACAGCAATTGAATTCTGAGTCTTTAGATTCTAAACAAAACATGGTACCAATGAGCTCAAAAGTGAGGGTTCATTTCCTACTCTGGACCCTCGAGTTTTCTGTTGTTTAGCCACACGCTGCACCCTGAAGTAGATGCCCAAAAAGGAGGCCACTAACTAAGAGGCTGGGGCACTCTGCCTCCCCACAGGGATCAGGGCTTTCAACACCTGCTGCCAGCAACCCCAACTCCACTCCCATGATGGGAGTGACCACAACAGGGAGGCAGACCCATCTGAAAGGCAGCCTGTCCATGGAAACTCCAGGCAGTGAGTTACACGAGGAGTAAAACAAGTAGGGAACACACTCAGGGTGTGTGGCAGGGTGAGTGTGCATACATGCATGTGTGTGTTTAGGCATGTACGTGTGTGCTCAGGTGTTCAAGTCAGTAAGAACCTTTAAGGGAAAGTGTGTAAAATTACATGAGACTTCTCATGCCATCTTTGGCATGACTCAATTTTTCCTACTGAAGAACAGTTTCTTGAAGCTTCTGAATGGGCTCTGCCTTCTGTTCTGCAGAAACAGGTCTGTGCCGGTGTACGCAGCTACAGAATCGTCCAGCACACTCACCCCCGCACACGTGAGAGTCCTCGTCCGATTGTGAATCTTGTTATGAATGTACATCATGGTTCCATCTTGAGCCACACCATTGACTTTAACAGTCATGGGAAAGCTTGTCTGAATAGAAGTTTCTACAAAACAAATAAATTTAGTATCAGAGACCACCTTAGGCCCGTCCCATGGCAAAGGTGCCTGCCAGGCTCTGTTGTGGCACTGCAGCCAGAACACACAGAGTGCCCACGAGCACTCTGAGGCCACATTACCCTCTGCTATTTGAAAACTACATTCACCCAGCAAAGAAAAGCCCTGCCACTAGATTCTGCTTCCAACCAGGCCTGAGCCAAAACCTCCATTTCAGGGCCATAACTTTCGTTTCACAAGGTTGAGTACTTCACAGCTAATGAAGTTACTGTACATTCTTAATTTCCCATAGAAATTTTTTTAACTTATACCAAAACATACTTTTGTTTTTCTGATTATTTTTCTAATTATATTCTCAATATCATCAAGAAAAATTAAACACATAGGAATTAACCTAACCAAGGAAGTGAAAGAGCTCTACAGTGAAAATTACATCACTTTGAAAAGGGAGAATGAAAAGGACATCTGAAAATGGAAAGATATCCCACGTTCCTAAATAGGCAGAACCACTATAGGCAAAACAGCTAAACTCATATATAGATTTGACATACTCACAATCAAAATACCAACAGCATTTCTCACAGATCTAAAGAAAGCAATTCTAAAATTCATGTGGTACCAGAAGACACCCAGAAAAGCAAAAGCAAAGCAGAAGGCATCACAATCCCAAATCTCAAATTATAATAGAAAGCTACAACTATAAAAACAGCATGGCACTGGCACAAAAACAGACACATGGATCAATGGAACAGAATAGAGGATGTAGAAACAACCCCAAGCACATTCAGCTATTTGATCTTTGGCAAAGGGACTAGAAACATTCACTGGAGGAAAGACAGCCTCTTAATAAATGGCAGGGGGAAAACTGGATATCCACATGCAAAAGATTGAGTCTAGACCCATATATCTCATTGCATACCAAACTAAAATCAAAATGGATCAAAGTTCTAAATGTCAGAACAGAAACAATCCACTGGAAGACAGAATAGGTAAAACTGTTGCAGACGTGGAAGCTGGCAACAATATTCTAAACAGAAGCCCAATGGTACAAGAAATAATACTGCGAGCCAGGGGTGGTGGCACATGCCTGTAATCCCAGCACTCAGGAGGCTGAGGCAGGAGGATCCTTGTGAGTTTGAGACCAGCCTGGGCTACAAAGTGAGCTCAAGGCCAGCCTGAACTGCACAGCTAGACCCTGTCTTAAAAAAAAAAAGAATACCAAGAATCAACAAGTGGATACTTGGCAAATTAAAAAACTCCTGTACAGCAAAGGAAACAATCAACAGAGTGTAGAGATAACCTACAAAATGGGGGGAAAAGTGTTGCTAGCTTTTCCTCAGCAGAGTACTAAAATCCAGAACAAAGAATTGAAAAAAATTACACCCCTCAAAATAAAAGGCCAAATCAAAAACTGGGCAGCCAAAGAATAGACAGTTCTCAAAAGTGCAAATGGCCTATAAATACATGAAGAAATGCTCAACATCACTGGTCACCACAGAAATATAAATTAAAACAACACTGAGATTCCATCCTACTCCAGAAAGAGTGGCTATCAAAAAAATCAAATAATAGCTGGCATGGTAGTGCATGCCTATAATCCCAGCATTTGGGAGGCTGAGGCAGGAGAATCAGCACAAGTTCAAGGTCAGCCTGGGCTACATAGTGAGACCCTGCCTGTCTCAAAAAAAAAAAAAAAAAAGAGATCAAATAATAACTGGCAAGGCTGTGGGGGGACTTCTATATTGTTGGTGGAAATGTAAACTAGTACAATCCCTATGGAGATTAGTATGGACATGCCACAAAAAACTAAAAATAGAAATTCCATTTAACCCATATGTTTGAGCATGTGTGTGCATTTAATAACTTCAGCTGCTATTATTAACCTTCTAGGTATCGCTCTAGAACAGTTAAAGTTATCATACTGCAGTGATACATGCTCATGTTTATAGCAGCACAATTCACAACAGCTAAATCTTGGAAATGGCCTATATGCCTATCAATAGATGAATGGATAAAGAAAATACAGTATTTGTAAACAACTGAGTAGTACTGTGTCATAAAGAATGATAAACTTGAGGCATTTGTAGGTAAATGTACGCCATTTTGAGGCCATAATGTTAAGTGAAATAAATCAGACATACAAGTTTAAGTATTGAATGGTTTATCTATGTGACAGTTTCTCTGATATGAGAAACACATATATAAACAAGGAACAAAATAAAGGATAGATATAAGAAGTATGGAGATCTTTTTCAAATGGAAAAGGGAACAAGAGATGTAAGGACGGGGAAGGAAGGGGAGAGAAAGGGAACAAGAAAAACTGAAGCAAAACAAAACACAGACACGGATGTGTGTGAATCATTGAAACTTTGAACAACCCCTGGGAATA